AACAAGTAGAAGAAAAGTACAGAATATTATCTGCCTTTTTCCCTATAGGATACTCATATTGTTCAAACTGTCATTACTGTATCTAGTTTATCGTACAATTACGACTAAACCTTAACTCCTAAATAAGCAGGAACAGGAGTAAAGATTGCCATCCTGAAAGCCTATCAGATAAACTTCAGTCTATAATCGACTGGATGATTCTGCGATTAATTTTAAATCCTACTTAATAGCTTAAAGATGTTTATAAAGATGAAATAATTTTATCAGTGTTGATCTTAATAATCTTATGTTCACTTACTCTCTAAGGCTTCCATAGTCCATCCACTTGTTGCTACTCAGGCTCTGCAAGTAAAACATAGCTTTGTACACAAATTAATATAGCTAGATTCTGGTCAGAATATAACTCACCAGGTAAGAATAACTCTAGTATTGCCAAGGAATGGAACGACGCAGCATTCAACAAACTCTGAAGATGCCTATTGTAATCATCAAACAATGAGAAAATTTAACAAGGTGATTAATGTCTCAGACACATTGTTTGGACAAAAATACGTCAAATGAACATAAAAAAATAAATCTACTTTTAATTGAGTGATACAGTTTCAGCTGGCATTTTTATAGGATCCCAGATTTTTTTTTCTGTTACATGTATCTATCTGACTACCTAGCTAACTATAGACCTCAGGCAGCAGGCGGTCTTTCTGTTGTTTTTTTTTTTTGTAGGCTACAGCCAGTTCCTAAAAGGAGATGACTGCTTTTCAGTGTGAAATTAAGTACCCAGTCAGGAATTGAGCATAATCATCATATGGGCAAATCAAAATGATGGCTACATTTACTGCCTACAGAAATTTTTGCTGCACTGCATATTAACACACTGAAAATGTTGTGTTAGCTAATCGTGAATGTGCCGATTTTCATTACCCATGGAAGTGCATAACATCTTCTGTTAAACTTCATTGACATTTTTCATCAAATGAATAGAGCAATGCCCTGAAATGTGATAATTGTAGATTCTTGTTATACAACTTTGAGTAAAATATTCTTTCCTCTAATTCCAACAGTAATTAACTTGGATTGGAATTCCCCTGACTCATGTAACAGTCTTCAGCACTGTATTAATGGATCCTAGTGTTTATATGGTTTGAAAAAAAATCCTGTCCCATACATGTAATATTATATTAAGGTGCTAAAGACTTTCAGGTTAATGAAAATAATTGATAAATCACCCCAGCTTGAGCTATAAGCATTTTTTTGGATTTAGGTTTAAAATGAAATGGTATCTTGCTGAAACTTAAAATGTTTCAGAAATGAAGCTCTGGAAAATTGTTGCATCTCCCATGAAGACTAAAAATTAAAGTAGACAATTATCATAATAATAACCCAATTGTACATGGCAGACAAAAGAGAAGCTAATACTTCCCTCTGCTTTTTGACTGATGTTTTGTTGGGCTGTAGCTAAACAGCACTTTAAGTTGACAATAAATTAGCAAACAATATGAGGGAGGAAAAAAGAAAGAAAATCATGCAGGGGTTAAGATGTTTATGTAAAACAGTGATTTTCCTTTTTAAAATTAAAACGTACAAATAAGCTGGTGTCAGAGACTAGGTGATCCTTCATTTCCACCGCATTGAGCAGGCTCACATCAGCAGCAGACAGCCGTTAATATATGCGTCTGGCTCAGTCTGGTCTACCAACTAGGAATTCATCGAATTGTTAATATCATTCCTTTTTTGTATGCACCACACATCATTTCCACTCTCTCTCTCTCTTCCTCCCCCTTTGCAAGAGCTTCTGTTTTGGTTTTTTGTTTTTGTTGTAGCACAAGCTTATTACTCCAAAATCACATATTAAATAGCATTTAAAAGCATTTTGGACTGAAACATCATAAAGTCATATAGAAATGAGAATATATTGAAATTCTGTACATATATCTAAGCATAGCATACCGAAGATGACGCTTTCTATTTATTTGTGCTAATAGAGACAGCTTTCATATACTGTCAATGTGTAAATAAGACTGCTTTCTGCATGGTGTCTGTAGGCATTGTCTTGTAGTCCCAGGACAGGGAAACATCTTGTTGATCTTGGTGGGAATTCTGCCCGAGTGAAGACCAGGATTCTCCCTCCCCTCCATCCGCCTCTGCCCTACCACAAGGAGTTCAATGTGTACCAGAGGTTGGTTGTTGCTGTGTTGAAACTGGGGAAGAAGAGGGAGGAGGGAAAAAGGAAGGCAGCGTATCAACTTTTTCATCTCTATGGCAAGGGGCAGCAGTGAGTACGATGGGCAAGAGAAGAGCCACTGGAGTTGTCCCAATTCAAGCAGTAATGCAGAGGCAGTACTGCATATTTACGGCTTTTGCTGTAGCACCAAATAAGCCAGGTAGGGGTTTCTAATGATTCGTTTTCTTCCCACTCTCACTGCAGAGCAGAGCATACTTGAAATCTTCAGACTGACAGAGACAGATGTTTCACACGACAGTTTCACCTTCATTGTACGTACAGTATTAAACGCAAAAGGAATTGAGTCCTGAATGTGAACCATCCACATTCAAGTAAATTCTGCTGATTCAGAAATAAATGCAATGAAAATCTTTAATATGTACAGACGTGTGCATCGTATATCTGATTAAATCTATAAGGATTTTTATTTTGATAAATACTATGCATAATTTAAATTGTATATTGACATGTATATACCTACACACAATATAGTTTTATCTCATTATATAGCTTGAATGAACAGAACACCTGTTCACCTGATCAGTATCTTAAATAGACTGTTTTCAGTACTGAAAACTATTGTACATAACACATGTCAGTTGCTACTGAAGTGCTTCATGAGCGTAGCACCTAGCTGGGTACGTTCGTCTTTTCTATACAGACTCAGACCTAGTTTTCTAATATTGCCTAAATAGAAGTCGATGTTGAATAAGACATCTGTGTCAAAAAATCACCTCTGTGTCTGAATGTTTGCAAGTAGCTCTTCTGAGCGTTCTTAGCATGTGGGATTGACAGTTTCCGAAGAAAAGAATTGCATATTTACAGGAACTGTATCATCATTGTAATTACTAAGGCAATATTTTTATGACTATTTAAAGACTAATTATATCTTGAGCAACTTGAAAACTACATACAGCGCATAGTTTCTAACTTTTAAGAAAACAAGACAACAAGAAAAAGTATCATACTAACAGATAAGAACAATTTATTTTAACAATAGTGTTGTTTACAATAAAACACAATTCCTCCCACACAAGTAGAAAAAAATATACTGCAGCCAAAATACCACTTCTGAAATGAACAAATAGTTTAGATGCCTGATCTGTGTGAAGCCTTTGTCTCAGTGAAGTCTGATGTATCAACAAGGTCCTGCAGCATCTTGGGTTCGACACAGGAAACAGAGAAAAATGACTCAGAACTAACCCGCTTATAAAATATTAAGAAATACAAATCAAATTACGTGTTGTAGATCAGAAGTTCAAGACTAATGAACAGTGCAGAATAACTTGTGTGCTTGTGAATCTTCTTACACAAAGTCAGTGAAGTACTTAACACATGAGGGACAACCTAAAGCTCACTGTTTTTTGTCAGAGGGGGGAAAAAAATGCAAAAAGTGATGGAGAGGCTAGAAGTTGAGTCCGGTGCTTAGAGTATTGCCGGCTCAGTTTAAATTGAACAGGTACAAGAAATGTGATTCTGTGTGCAAAGTGATTTTAATGCTGTAGTATGATTTTTACACCAATATTCTCTATCAGATTAAAATGTGAATTAAATGAGAGATTATTTTAAATGCCATATTGTGTTCTCAGTTAGACAAAGAAAAATGATGGCAACTAACTACAAAATAATCTTCGTCCTGTGTTACAGGAAAAGCTAAGCAACAGTTTTCCTGTAGTTTGAAATCATTATTCAAACAACAATAGAATGAATGCTTTCTAGGCCTCAAACATCAGTGTTTATGCTTTATGGTTTAAATGTTAATTAATGCTGTAACAATACAGCTGAAAATATCCTTTGTGTTAATTATCTATCAGAATTGTCTATAATAATAATAATATTATGGTTGAAAGCCTTTTGTATATTTTAGTATCTGTTTTGATTTTTTTTTTTTTTGAGGCGTAAACTGGCATTCAGTTTAAATTTTAATTCTAAATGTTACATGGCATCTAGTCCAGTTTTCTAAACATACAAACATGTAACATCTTAATGTTGCACAATGGATGACAGCTTTTTTTCTTTTAGGAACAGTTCTGCTGCTTAACATTTGAAATAGGTATATTTTCCTTTTTTCCCTTCCAGACAAGGAAAGCTCCTTTGGTTCTCTAAATTCTGCAGAGAAACAATCACAGTCCAAAGCTGCTGGTTCCCCTCCGCCTAGGTCCCAAGAGCCTGACTTGTGATTGTTGCTAAAAAACCTCACAAGTTAGGGTCTCAGGGACTAGGAAAAGTCCGATATGATCCAGTAGAATTCGTCTTCCAATAAACTGAATTGCTTAGTAGTCATAATCGTTGTCAGTAAAACTTTCACTGCTATTGTTAAAAACAAAAACAAAACCAAAATAAACCCCAAAAAGAATGTCACCCCCAAATCAGCAATCCCTCCTTCCCCCCAAATAAACAAACCACAGTTTCAAGTAGGGGGCAGAAAAGATCAAATAAGCAGGCAAGACACATACATACATTCAAACAATGTATCAGCTGACTGAACAGACTTTTCTTAGAGTATAGTCCTTAACTTTTGAAAAGAAAAAACAAAGAACACGGGAAAAAAAACCTCACTGCCTCGTCTCGCAAGTAGCCATATTATAATGCATCAGAGGGAAGCGTCTAAAAATGGGTTAAAATCTGCTTCCAGCAGATTTGTACAGTAACAATTTTATTCTCTTTATTTCCCTTAATGCCTGAAAGAAGGATTAAATGCTTGTTAAGGGGTTTCTAATTGAAATATTTCCCCATTATACTTTTAGTCCTACTGTTCAGGTGGGCCCTGGGTTACAGAGTACTTTAAACCCATTCACGATGCAAGGATAACCCTTTGGGTGTGTATTCACTTTTTGCCTCTTCCCCACGTTCAACATTTAATCCTTCTACAGACTGCTAGCAAAAGCTTCTTCCTTCCCAATGGCAAAACTAGCTTTCGCTCCATAAGCTGTAGAAAACATTGACATGCAGAGATTGTTGTCACTTGAACCAGATTACTCAAAGCACACATAACTTTCAAATACTGTCGATACAGTAAGAAGAAATGCTCGGACTTCCCAAATAATTTCGTTCTGAAGCTGAACACTTTTAATGGCACGACCACAATCCTGAATTACTTTCGCATTCATTCTCCTCCGATCTTTAGCCTTGTTTGCAGAACGAAAAAGAAAATTTCTACTTTAGGGACGGGATCCACGGTGGCTTTTTTTTTTTTTTTCCCCCCCCTCAGAGAACCCAGAGAAAAAAAAACAGCAGCCATAAAGGTCCTAGCCACTGGAGCAGAATCTGGCATAGAAAACTCAGTGCTCTTCGGGAAGCCGTTCAGCTTTAAAAAGGAAAAAAAGAGAAGAGGGGGGGAAGAATTAGAATCTCTGCTGGTCGAACAGGTGAATCATCCATTTACAAGAAAGCTGTACAGAGCGCTCTGCTGAAGAAAAGATTTGCCAGTGCCCCCCACCCCCACCCCTTCCCTTCACCCTCCCCTCCAGATAGATACTTCAGATTTCAGAACATTTTGGATTATTTAAAATATTATTTCAGCTGATGATATAATGCAACATTATATAAGAGCCGTTTCTTTGTCACTGTGCACCATTCAATCAGTTATACCTCAGACACAAAATAGTTAAACGAAACAAAATATATATATGAGAGATATATGTATAGCAGTCCCTAGATTTCATTCAATTTCTTTTTTTAAAGCTGATCATGATTTAACAAACAATTTTGACCACAGCTTTCAAATCAATAATTAGAATGAAATATCTCTCCCCTCTATAAATATGACATTAACATAATTATACCACCCCCATCGCATAGACCCATCCTCTTTAGGGAATACATCTGATGCTCTGAAGATGGAAATCAGTCAGATTTTAGTTGCTCTCAAACGTACCTTTGCTTCTCACTGACTGACTGGCTTTACCTTCCATGCACACACACAGTCACGAGCACACACACGCACACACACACACACATACACATGCGCGCGCATACACACACACACACACGCACAAAAAGGCAAGGCAAAGCAGCGGATGCTGACTCAGAGCAGTTGTGTGTGGAGGGGGTGGTATCGGCTGGTATTTTCACTGCACTCATCATTAACATTAACTCACTCTCTAGCATCCACCCTCTCTCAGACCTGCTGGACTGCAGCATTTGCATGACGCTGTCACTCTAGCCCTTGTGGGTCAGATGTTAGAAGAAAAAAAAGCCTCAAGGCTCTCATAAGGAATGCCTTCATTTCTTCCAAAGGGTCCCTCTTCTTATTTTTCCACCTTTCTACTTCCTCTGTTGCTGTGTCTCAGTTGTTTGACATCTTTCCGGAAGAAAATGTCTTGAGCTGCAATAAGCCAGTAGTCAGTCGGTCCTCCCCTCACCTCACACTCCTATTCCCACCCCCTTTTTTTCCTAATCAATAAGACAGATCTCCAAATGCAGTTGTGAAAACAGGCTCTGACACACAGACTTTCATCCTCGATCCTCTGTCTCAGGAATAGCAGGCAACCCAGGCTCACACGTGATGTAGAGAGAAATAATGCCAGTAATTCTTGAACAGTCTTAGGAGTTTATTCTACGCCTTCTTCATTTTTTCCTTTGCTCAGATAAATACCGGTGGGAAGAACACACTAGCTCTCAAAAGCTGCAAAGATTCATTTCTTCAGAAAATAATGCAAATTAAAAAGACTAATATTAATCTTCCTCAAAATTAATGCTATCTTCCTCCCCCCCTACCCATTGTGCTCTTTATGAGTAGGAATTGTCTCATAGCCAAAACACTGCCAGGGTCTGAATAACCATTCACTGTGCTGAAATCGTGAGTTTCTGGACTTCAATCGGTATTTAACTGGGCTAAGTAATTTTTTTCTTTTTTTTTTTTAATTTTAGACTTCTTAATTAAAAATAAAATAAAAAATAGAAGCTGCTTGCGTCAGAGGGAGCACAGTGAGAGAACAATGGCAATACACCCACACCACCACACCGAGTATTGAAAATGCATGTTTGAGCTACGCTTGTGTATTTATCTGCATGGTAGTTGCTCCGTGTTGGTAGAGCAGTCTGCGCACATACACGTACATCGAATACACACATACACACACAGAGAAACTCAAGACGCGTATATAAAATACACAACACAAAACAAAGCACAAAGGCTGTTAACTGAAACACAGGCACAAGTTGTCTGACAGGCTATGAAAATCCACACAGCATAATTATTGTGTGCATTTTTACCTTGTTCCTTTGTTCTTAAGTCAAGGGACTTTAATGACTTACGGTGTTGACAATCTTTCGGCTTTTCCCTTTTTACGCCAACAGTATTTGGGAATTATTTTTCCAGACAATACCACACCACTGTGAATCGCGGTATAAAAATTATTTACCAGAGGGGGGGACAGGTGTAATGCAATTCACCAGCCAATTCTCAAAGCTGCCTGGTGCCGTAGAAACTCTCGGCGTAGCTGGGCAGGCAGGTCCCAGGATGCAGTGCTACACCGCAGTCCCGGCTCAGGTAGCCATTTGGCAACCTGACGGCGGCAGCAAACGTGAAGGGCATCCGCTCGCAGGAAAGGTCCAAAAGAAAACACCGCGCAGCCCCGAAGTAAAGAAACGAAGCCAAAACGCCAGGGTACACGCCCTAAGCCCAGTTCGTACGTGCTTATGATCGGTCGTCGTGATGGTAATTAATTTCTTAGGTAAAGGACGGAGGAAAGTAGACAATTAGGAAACAGTTAAGTTTGTAATCTCGGAGAAAGGGAGAGACGGAGACAGACACACACCCACAGACAGAGACAGAGAGCGAGCGGAGAACGCCAAGCACGAGACAACAAAAACAAGACCGAAATCAGATTTGGGAAACTGAAAAAATACAGGATTACAGCATTCAGCTTAGCATTTACTGAGGTATAAAAAAAAATTAACACATGCACAGCATGGCTTAAAATACTTATTGCCATCAATAGTCTGTGACGGATGCCGTCTTCTTACTGCTATACGTACATTAGATTGGTCACCACCTCTTAATCTCCTTTTGCTCAGACCCATCCATTTTTTGCTGCTCCAGCATCTGTGCCCTTTATGCTTTTTTTCTGTATAGTTACCCACAATACGCTGGATAAATTAATGTCATGACCTTGCTATGGCTATCAGACAGAAAAAAAAGTCTAGTATTTTAATAATTGAACGTGCACGTACAGCAAACTGCCTACTGATAGCCCAGCTTTGTGGACTGCCTCCAAAAGCAGCCTTTGCTAGCTCTGCGAATCAGAAACAACAGATGCAAATACTAGCCACATAGCCCCAGCTCTCTGTCTTGCTTTTTTTTTTTTCAAAAACCCACCCTTTTCAATCTGTGCCATCTCATTTTCCCTGCGTCTGCCCCCCTCAACGGTTAAAAACATTAGCCTGCTGAAATTAGAAGCTTTTGAATAAAAGCATAACAATGAGTGAAAATTATAAATGGCTGCAGATTCTGGAAATTTATATCCAGACGGTGAGTAGGGAAGAGTACCCAGGTTCAAGTGCTGAGCCTCACTCAGGAGCACCTCTGGGGCCAATGGGACTGCAGACTAGATTAAATCAATAGTCGTCTGAAACGAGATGTCGTAATCAATCAGCTCAATTACCACTGTCATAGATCTGGGCTTAAGGTCTTTCCTGATTCCACTCTTCTAATCATTAACCCTTATACATCCTCAAAATAGGAACTCACGCTTGCTCTGCTGCCCTACCTTTCAGATCATCAAAGTTTAACTTAGCATTTTCCCCTCTTTTTCCCTTTCCCTATTTAAATAATATGAGAATGGGTCGGCAAGAAACATTTTAAATGTGAATATGGCAAGGTTAGATGCACTCCTTTAAATGTACCTATTATATATTTGCTGCGTGTGCGCTTATATATTATTATTATGCCTCCGGGAGTGGCTGGGTGGATCAAAGACTGCTGTTTAATTAACATTCAACTCCGCTGTTTCCTTGGAGATTAAAAATAGAAGACTAGTTGAATTAAACTGAAGCCGTTCATTCCTTTCACTAATCCAATATTATAGAACTCGTCTCCCCTCAACCTAGTTAGGAACAACTCATTTCTGGTTAATCAACCACTAGGAAAATCCATTTTCAGTTTGAGGGTAAGTGTGAAAAAGTTGGAAAGACATTTTCGTAGGCATGTCTGAATTTCACAGAATTGCCCAATCATTTACATTTTGCATCCACAGTACAGCAAATCCCCATGCGATGCAAGGAGAAAAGGACCATCCAGTTTGAATACGAGCAGAGCCACTTTAAAATCTTGCCTGTAATTACTATTCGCTCTATGAAGACTAAATGTCATCCATTTAACTTGTTTTTACTCCTGTGCAGGTCCTGAAAAGATCAAAAAGCTTTTCACAAAAATGCTCAAGCAATCGTCACATATCCTTCTCCCAGTTCCTCAGAAGGAAAGAAAGTATCCAGGCAGCAAATATCCAGAATTTTGGATTTAAATTTGATTTATTCTGCTGATAGACTCGAATAATAATAGTGAAAGAAAACCCCATTACATTTACAGTTACATCACTGTCTGTACACACTGCCTCTGTTTCCAGGCAGAACCACACCTTTTGTAACCATAGATCTGCTTTTCAGCTGGAGAGACTGAACGCACAGCTTTAGTCCCCGCAGCCCTGTGAATGTCGGACAGCAGAATTAGCCCCCGTGCCACGGCAATGATATTCTGGGGAGGAATTTGTGCTCCTAGAGGTGCTAGGAATGGATATGGGACAGGGGCAGCAAATAGGTGTTTCAAAGCAGAGGCTGAGGCCGGGGGTCTGGCTGCAGGGAGGGCACCTGCCGGGGCAGGGTGCCGCGCTATCCAAGACAGGTTATAATTGGAGATCGATTGCTGGATTTAATGACCCAGCTGTTTTCATTAGTAGAAATGTAAAAAATTGGTCTAGAAAATTACTCAGCTGCTAGTATAGGCACTTTTTAACAGGCTTATACCTCAGCCAGGAGCGACTTTGTTGCAGTAACTGACCTCTCACAGATGGAAAAAAATGACCTCAGCTTTGCTTCTTTTCCGGGAAAGATTTAGCTGACAGTGGGATGAGATACAAAAAGAACCTTAATTCTGTCCTTTAGTAATGCTAAATGAATGCAATGCACCAGACACCACCTTAAACTGGATGAAGGGTACTGCTCAGTTTTGCAGGCAGCAGTTAAGACTGTAAGCATCATCCACAAGGGGACAGCATTCACATCCACACTAGAAAGATGCAGTTTGTGTACATGAAGAACAGAATGAGAGTAGCAGCCATTGCTGAAACCACCCAAAAAAAAACCCCA